CAGAAATTAGATTCTCAAAGTTAGCTTTGGTTTGGAAGAAGCACTTTAAATTAGAATTTGGAACTCCTTAAAGGAATTGCTGCAAAAATGAATGTAGCTTTTTCTCTTCATTCTTATTATTCAGAGCATAGAATATGCCCAAATTAATAACATGAATACCAGTATGTTATAAATGCAGCAGTGTCAGAATACTTCTATAATCATGAAGCATTCATGCAAAACAGGGACAACAGCCATCCCTGTTCAGAACCACACATTTTATAATACTTTTACTTACTGCAATATTTCAAGTTATTGCTGCAGTAATTTTAAAGGGGAAAATTAAGCATGTTTCCTACGGAATTTACAATAATCCTGTCTCTGCTACATCGGAGAAGCTCTTTTTTTTTTTTTTTAATAAATTGCTTCAACCATTCCTCAGAAAGAAAAATATCAAAATTGTGGGTTCTTTTGTTAATGGGTCCTAGATCACACCATTAATCTTAATGGGAATCTTTGCATTGACTTTAGCGGTTCCTGAATCGGGGCACCCTTGAAGTTAAGATTATATTTGTATAGAGTTCATGAGATGACAGGTATCAATCTATGGAAAACATTTTTTTTTACAGTGTTTTGACAATATCCACCATTTATGCACTTAGCATACAAGACCAAAGCAAAACCAAGGGAAGTCAAAGCCCCATTTTCAGGCAAGTAGTTAAATTATTATTGCTTATATTTCAGTACAGAATGCCTTTGTTCATTTTTTTAATGAAATATTTTTTCTCTTACAGCAATGCTACAAGTTCCGTTATCCTGCCTCCCTCCACTACTATGGCAGGTAGGATATTTATGCTTCCAGTAAATGGTTGATATGCCTGCAATTGCAGTGCTGCTGCAAAAAAGTCAAGAAACAAACAGCATCACCAATGAGTTTGTTGTTCTTTTGCAGCACTTCATGGGACCAAAATTACTCCAAGCATACTACCTGTTGGTGTGACCCCTGAAGTGAATTTCTGTGATATCTTGCCTTGTGACAATATATATTGCTGTCCAATTCATCAAACAAAAAGAAAAGTTCTGAGTTACCAGAAAATGATGGCTACGGAAGAGAGTAAGTAGAACAAAAAACTTGTTACTGAGCCTCTGGTTTCAGTTTTTATTAAGAATAAAGATTTGAAGACTTTTTTTAAAAAGAGATTTAGGTGTCTAAAGAGGCAAGTACCAACTGGTGTCTTCAAAAGAGCTGAGGTACCTAACATCCATTGCAAATTGATATGTTTTTGAAAATCCCGTTAGGTATCGACTTGCATCTTTAAGTACCCATATATCATAAAGACTCTGGCCACTGTGTTTTCACATCATAATAAGAAGGATTCATACTTCTCACTAACTGTCATGATTTAGTGATATAAGGTGAAGATGAGAGCAGCTAATATCTTAACCCTCAGTTACATTGAGTAATGAATTGACTGTGTGAGGACTTGCATTGTGTAAGGACAAGATGCATTTAAATTGGTGATGGTTTGATAGGCCAAAGTGGCATTTGGTAGCTGATGGCACTGTAATGTCAGAAGAGGAAGGACTTGCCTTTCTCTCTACTCCCACACTTTAAAATCATTAGCCGTTAGAATTTAGTGTTCACATGATGTTAATTCCAACATTGATCTTGGCCTAAGAATTGGGCACTGAGCAACCAGGCTGCCAGGGCATGAGTGCTTGCAATGGCTACAATAATGTAGTCTGAGTCATTTAACCCTGTGGCTCAGGTCTCACTATATTATTTTGTCTTTAAATGACAGACTGCAGAGTAGTACAGTGTAGCAGTTAGCAGCAGCATGGAGCTTACTGTTGGGTACTATTAAAGGTGCTTCCTGAGAAGTTGCTTCTGGTATCTGAACTAGGTGAATAGCTCAATTCTTCAATGTAGACGTATCCTTTTTCAAAGCTGTGCTAGTGTTGCATCACTTCCTTAGCCCTAAAAGAAAAGATATTTGCAGTGCTACATCTGGGAATTTAGCCTTGGAAAAAGAGTACTGAGTCCTCAAGGAAGGAGATGCTGGATTTGAAATAAAGTAAAAGGAGCAGCCAGTACTGAAGTCCAGGACCCAGATCTGCAAAGGCCCTGGGATGAGGGTAGACCTTCCCATCTTAGGAGATGGCCATTATAAGTTAGGGCACAAACAGGCATTCAGGTAGTTCACAGTGGTCAGCATTAATGTAGGGCCACTTACCCCTCTGAAACCAGTTTTTCATGTTGGTTGAAATCATGTTTAAGTTATTGCCATGAGAAAATAGCAAGTGGTTCTTATAATAGGCACTGGCTTTTATTTTTGTTGGTGGTGGGGAGGAGGCTAAGATAATTACACGTGGAAAGTTATATGCATTTCAGGTAACAGCCAACTTCCTGAGGGAGGCCTGGGCCCTTGGGCCTCCACATACTTGGCACCCTTGTGCTTTCTGCAGGAGTAAACCTTGTGACAGTTATGACACACTACATTCAAGAGGTCAGCCCTTCGGGCACTTTTACATGTGCTCCAAGTGTGTGTGTGTGTGTGGGGAGTGGGGTGGGGGCTTTAATTAGAGTGGCTCCGAGAGCCTCTCTAATTGAAGTGCTACCACATTAAAACAGCAGTAGGGGCTGATGAACTAAAGCTCATCAAATGAACTTAGTTCAAGCACCCCCACCACCATTTCTCAAGGTGAGGATGCTGATACATGAGACACAAGAGGCAGCAGGAGTGTGGCAATTGCCACGCTCCAGCAGCCTTGATTAATTGAGTCTGCTCTGATGCTCTGGAATGCCAGCATGTCAGAGCAGCCTCCACACTTGTGTATAGGTGCCCTTTGTGACTTGTGTTGCTCTGAAACTTGAATGACTCTTAAGATTTTCCCAAATAAAAAAAAAAGGGCTAATTGGTAAATAAAAGAACTTGAGGAGAAAATGTAACTCTTTCATCCCCATCTGGATATCTTTTACCGTGTGTAGACAAAATGAGGGGCGTGTGTGCATGACACTTTAAAGTGGGTTAAATGCTTTTGCACCGCTTTAATGGTGTAATAGCCTCGGCAGTGTATTGCGCATTAATTCCAGCTGCTGTAGGAAATTCTGCAGCGTAATGCGCCTTAAATGACTTGGGGCACAGCAAAGTAAAGCTCCTTCGAAGAGTTTTAGTTTGCTGTCCCTACAGCTGTGGAACGAAGCACCAGGCTTCGTGCAGCTCTGCGGCTCTGTAGGAAGCCCTGCAGGCAGCCTAGCAGCAGCCTGGGAAAGCAGACTCTGCCCAAGAAATGCGGTGAGCCTGATCTTTGTTTTCCTGCTGGAGCCTGCCTGCTTGCCTGAGCTGTGTGGGAGCCCGGTGCTTCCCTCCATGGCTGTGGTGCGCCCCCCCCCCCCCCCCCCCGGGACTACCCAAGCTGGGTGCCTGCAGGTGGGTGCCACCTGTGGGGGGCTGCCATTGCTGCAGAGGGAAGCATCAGCCCCCCCACCCCCACTGCAGCCCAGGGACCACTCCACCCATTAGCAGCTCACCTTTCCCTCCCCACCAGAGTGGCAGGTAAGTCAGCGGGATGTGTGTACAACCCAGGGGGGGGGGGGGTTAATCAGTGCTAAATTGAAGCAGTGTTTAAAAATCAACTGCTTCAATTTAGGGCCCCCATTTTGTCTACCCATGCCCTTTTATATTAAGGGAAAATAGCAGGAAAATAATAAAATCACAAAGCTGTTTCTTCCTCTCAGGGTGTATCTACATGAGACACTAAATGCTCAGTAGACTAATTCTACTGCATATTAGTTCAACATGTCAAAAGCTGTGCTATTGTGCTAATGAACAGTAGAATTAGTCTACTGCACATTAGCGTCACTTAAAAGGCCTGTGCCAGCACTACTTCACAGTAGCACTGGCTACTGTGCATTTAGCTAGTACTTGCTATTACAGTATTAAACTTAATGCAGTAACCACAGTGCATTAATGCATGTGTAGACATGGCCTCAGAATCTCAAGCTCCAAATAGCATTAAGCCTATGTACAAGAGTGAAAATTCATTCAGCCTACAAGCTACTGAAAGATTTCAAATCTCCAGCAAGTTTAGGGTAGCTGGGTCTCCCAAATGGAGGGTAACAGTAGCAAAACTTAAATCCAAAAAGACCTCATCAAACCACTTTAATGTGGTTGTATCTAAGGCCAGTGAAAAAGAATATATTGAACAGAACAAAATGCAGGAAATGGAACATGAGGAAGTAATTAGGACAAACCCTGTATACTTGGAGTCTTTGTACTAGTCTAAGAAAATAGTTATTGAAGGCTACTTGCATTTGCAATTACAGTGGAGCTCACTGCAGTATCTGGAGCTCGTTTTCAACACAGCCTTTTTCTTACTTCCACATTCTACCCTGCAAGCATTGGTACATGCATTCACTGAATAGATCTTTTTAGTATAGGTACATATTCATGAGCATTTCAGAGAGAGCAGAAGCAAAAGCTTGTGTAAATAAGACCCATGGAAATTCATTTAAAAACTCAAAAAAACAAGCAAGCAAAAAAATCCAGCAAATCATCCCAAATAAGGTCTTGTTGTATTTATTTTGCTTTAGTTGGGCATCTTCTTCTTTCCTCCCTTGTTCTGTTTGCCCAAATAAGGCCTCAAATATTCAGCTGCTGAACTAATTAATTTAAGGGGAACTAAGTTCCTGAATGTATTTGAGAATTTGAGCCTTGCTCTCTCCTGCTTCCATCCCAGTATTCCTTACTTATTCCCTAATGGTTCCTAATTGCAAGGGACAGTCCTTTTCTTTTCCATTTTTAACAAAATACCATTATCTCCTTCTATTCTTTCTCCAAAAAAAATTCCCCTTATATAGGACAATGAGGGCTAATGATGCATTTCAACATGTGGACATCTGTGGTTTCATAGAAATATGCTATTATACATGTGGGCATCTATGGTTTCATAGAAATATGCTATTATATTTTAGAATTATGTTAGTGTGCTTCCAAAACACTCAAAATTCATCGCTGGGAAGCATGGGTCATTGAAGGCAGAGATGGAGGAGAAAGAACACCAGGTTTGTTGGGTCCTGTACCTGAACAAGAGTAGAATGAATTCTTTAACACTCTTTTGGTCCCACTCTTATCTAGTGGGGAACATCAGTGGGTGAACTGGGACAGGGGGCACAATGTATTTTTTTCATTGAAGCTGTTATATGTGACAGAAAAGAATATTAATACATAAATAAGAATATAAGAAGTACCATATTGGTTCAGACCAATGGTCCGTCTAGTCTAGTATCGTCTCCAACGATGGCAGATGTGGATGTTAGAGGAGAGGGCATTGAACTGGATAGATTTAGTGTGATCTATCCCTTATTCATTATGCTGTCTGGTATCCACCATTATTAGTTTAGAGATGCCAGAGAAAACATCTCCAAATGTTCTGTCCAGCTAACAATAGATCTACCATTGATTAATTTGTCTAGTCCCTTTTTAACCTGACTATGCTCTCTGTATCTAACTATCGTTACAGTAATTGTTCTTGTTTATAAGAAGTTGTTATATACCATTGCAGTTATTTCCCATAGTTCTTGACTTTCTGGCTTGGTATTCTGCCTCTCCAAATAAAAGTAATATTAGAAGGGGGTTATTTTTTCTGCATTTGATTTTGGTTCTACCATCAAAGGGGATAATGTAGCATTAATTTAGCAGGAAAACAAGAAGAACCTGACATTCAGATTGGCCACTGTCCCAATCAAAATAGTGAAATCAGAGTAAAATTCTGTATTCAGCCTAATTCTGAATCGTTCACAGCTTTTTCCTTAAAAGTCTGATGCTTCCATCATCTTCCATGTAAAGAATCTCTGAGGTGTATTTGCTCAGTCTTCCAGTGAACATAATGAATATTCCAGCAAAGCACTCCAAAGTAGAAGTAGCAGAACTAAGAAAGAGAGTCTCATTTTTCTCTAAGTGAGCAGCCCTGTGAGAGGAGCAAGGCTCTCTCCCAGAAGTATTCTTTCTTCATGAGTGCACAGGCTCCCAGGGAAGTATACAGTGTATGACCTAAAGTTTTATATCTAGATTTTCCACTGCAAGTAACAGAGGAGAGACCAGACTAGTCAAAAGGGAGAGGGAAAGTCTAGAGAATTTACTCCTACAGAGGAAAACTGATTGGCCAAAAGGGATATGAGGTAATTGTGATAGGAGGAATAAGTGGCTGTATTTGTACTAATCGCAACAAAATAAAAACCATTTGAAATTCAACTTTTGCCCATTTTTTTCTTTTCTCTTTTTTTTTTGTACTTTTTTTGTATTCTCCTGCACTCCGGATTTGTTGCTAGAGCTTCATGGGAACAAGGTTTTTCAAGTTTTCTTTTTATTTTTTTTTCCATTTTGAAATTAAACAAAACAAAAATCTGATACGAAAAATAAAACTCAGAAGCCAACAACAACAACATATCAGCTGTACGTTTGTGAACAGACTCCTGTGTGTGCCGTAAACCAGAAAATGGCAGTATTTGGTATCTTTTTTTTCCCCTCAGAGGCTGATAAATAGTTTGCCTCTCCTTAGGTTGGACTATGTATTCTTATGATACATAGACTACCTACATCCATACATATGAGTCGTCTTAATCTTAAGATATGTCTATATGAGAAAATAAATACTACAAAAACCATGCACAGATCCAGATCGAGTGAAAACCTTAAAGTTACAGAAATGAGATCAGTAAATGTGGTGATCGCATTACTGGCGTCCTCTATCCGTGTCTCTGTGTAGAAGACTCATCTGTCTGTCTCTGACATGCTAAATGTTAGGTCAGTCCCCAGTGTTCTTAGTCCTCATTTTCAAAGGCCTTTGTTATTCCCCTGGTCTACTTTTATGTGGCAGATACTGATTCAATCACTGCCATACAAGCCAGCAGGACATCCTGGCTAAGCACGTTTTTATAATCAGATCTGTGCAGGTGCACAGTCTGGGGAAGTGAATTAATCTCTGCCTCTTTCTCTGGTACAACAGCCACTTATATTTTATGCATATTGAGGAAATCTTTTCTGTGTGGCTGCTTTAGCAATTTTTCATTTATACTTTTAATATTCCCTTAAAAGCTCACTTGGTAGTGTTGTGTTCAAGTGCATCTGTTTGTAGATGATTTGTCTGAATGAAGTAGCTTTGTACTTTAAAGGAGTCTCTTCATGCCTTTATTAGTTTGTCACTGGAAAAGGTGGGTTTCAAATTCCTTTGGCCCCCTGGGTTGGATCCAAACCACAGGGCTCCTCATGATGGGGGAGGAGGGAGACAAGTGCTGGCATTAAACACTACATTTCTGAGCTACAGGGTTTAACACATCTATTGCTTGCCCCTCCATGCCAACATGCATCCCGAGCGGGGGGGCTCCATGTCCTAGAATTTGGCAATGGACCTGCCCTTGTTTGCTGTACCTCTGAATTCCTGGCCTGTCCAGGAGCCCTACAGGCCAGGTGATACAGCTCCAAGTACTGGGTCCAGTCTAGGGGCTGTATCTTTGATGCCCACTAGAAAGAATATCTTGCTACCATTCTTTTGCATAAGTTTTGTTGTTATAATTGCTCATATTTAACTGTAGCAGAATAGACTATAAAGGAGATCAATACATATTTTTCCTTCCCACAGGAAACAAAAATAAAATACCACTGGAGAGAAGCTGGGACAAAAATCCTGACCTTGGAAATGACTGTAAGCTTGCCATTTAAAGGAAAATTATTTAAACCTCTAATTTAAGAACTTCAAAAGTCTTAGATTTTTTTTAATGCCTTCTGATTTAGTGTGGGGAATTATTTTTATATTTAGCTTATTATGAGAAATCAGAACTTGGGAATCTATTGCATTTTCTAATTTTCTGGCAGAACTAAACTACAATGGTGTATTTACAGATCTGCCTTCAAACCCCCTCTAGAGATTTCTTTATCTTCTCCCAGGTTGTTTAAAGGTAACATTATGCAGTGAGCTCATCTCAGATGAACTCACTTTGCATCTGTTTCCTCATTCTACTTTTTGAGACAAAGGGCTTGAATTCAGATGTCATTAACCAAGTGGGCCAGACACAATAGACTTCCTTGTCTCTCCCAGCACAAGCAATACTTCTCAGCCAATGTTAGATTCTGAACACTCAGACACTGATCCAGTAAAGCATATAAAGGGTATAGGAACTGTTTCTATACTTTAAGTGGAGCTTGTGCTAAAGTGTAGGTGTGCTGTTGACATTTTAATGTCATGTAGCCTGGCCTAGGGGAATCCTACACATCAATTGGAAGGACAGAAGAATGAATGGTAGTGTTCTGGCTCAAGCAAACACCACTAGCACTGAAACCATATTTATTAGGGCTGCATGATGCTTTGGTCCCTAATTTGATTTGGCCTGATTCAGTGGCCAAATCTCCAAATCGAATCAGGAGACCCTTTATTCTCTCCGAATTGAATCAGAACCCTCCAAATGGATTTGGAGAGATTCGGAAAGATTTGGCGATTTGGACATAGACACAGCTTTGAATGTTTTATCTACATACCTCAAGGTACCAGGCAGCTCGTGAATGCAGCAATGCTGGGGTGGATGGAGCATCCCACAGGAGCATGGGGGCTCCCCAGTGCGCTCGGCAGCAGACCTGGAAGTGGACCAGAAGCACTTCCTGGTCCACTGGAGAGCACACAGGGCTCCCGCTCCCCCCCCCCCTCAGCAACTGGTGCCTCCTGA